CCCGAGTCGCCGGCCTAGATGCTGGCCTTTTACAATCAAATGTAATTATTTTTGCAATATACACCTTCAGCTGCTGCTGCTGCTGCTGCTAGTGCTTCTGCTGCTGCTGCTGCTGCTAGAAGTTGCCGGCGTGGCAGCAACAAGTTGCTTAGCATACTTCCGTTTGCCACAAAGGCCGGGCGATCGCGTGATCAAAGTCAATTTAGTTACGATATACAGACACATTTGTTTTTGCTGCTGCTGCTGCTGCTGCTGTTGCAGTTGCAGTAGGCAAGTTGCACGTGGGCCGGGCCCAACGATCCTGTCGTCATCTGCTGCCGTTGCATTTTTTGTAGCTGCCTTCTGATCGCCTGTTCAGCTAAATTAAACCATTGCCGCCTTATCGACGACTGCAGCCAGAGCCAAAGTAACTGCGGCGCCTGCGGTCGTCCAAATGAGAATAAAATGGGCCAAAGGAGCTGCAAGTGCTGGCCCTGGCTCTGGCCAGGGTTAACTGCGAACCGGTTTGCAACCACTTAAGCACTCCAGCTCCACGAACCGCAAAAAGCCCTCGCACTCCCCATGCACTAAGCCAGCTAAACGCCCCATAAATGTGGTAGCAACCTCAAACAGTTCGAAATTACAAAACATGATTCATAGACCCTAATCGCAGCGCAATGCTGAAGCGAGTTTCTGCTCCTCGTGATGAAAGTCCGTGCGTCTCCAAGGGAATATTCTTATTAATATATTGCTCTACTTTATGTTTATCATTCATTAAAATAATTAAAAGCGAGGAGAGATAGTCTACGAAGTGTTCTTAAGAGAATAACTGAGTAAGCAAATGAAACATAAAAATATCAAAAATTAAACAAGTTGAAATATTTCAGTTTCACAAAATAAAATACTCGGATATATATACATACAGTTTATGCATATAATATTTATATATATCTCCAAATGATTGATAACATTTATATTATTTCATGTTTTTTTTTTCCTGATTTAATAATTCTGAAATATTTTAACTGGTTAGAATTTATTAAATATTTGCTTAATTTTTTGCGTTGCTGGCATTTCATCTATTATCTTTCATTTCCTGTTGCCATTTTTTGCTATTTCTTGCTGTCTGCATTTGTGCTGCTCCTCCTCGCTTCTTCTTCAGCTTCAACTTTGTGAAATGTTTATCATAATTAGCTACACGATTTTCTGCTTAATTGCCAAAGCGCCAAAAAAGGGGAAAAAAAGAAAAATTAACATAGACCACTGACGCGATCGCCAGAAGCGAAGCAAGTCGAACTCTTGAAATATTTAACTAAAAATCTCCGAAATCCTACTCATTTCATGCTAATTACATGGCTAGGCAAATGAATGGATGAATGAATGGTTACTCGACTGCGTCTGCTGCGTCTGCTGCGGCGGTCCGCCCGCCATTTTGAGCTGGGTTCAGAGACGCGAGTTGGCAGCAAGTTAAAAAATTATTTAATTTTAACCTTTGGGGGCCGGCAATCATCATTAACTACGCGTTTCGTATTTGTTTAGCTGGGCTTTGTGTGCTGCCTCGTAAAGGTTTTGGGTCACAGCCGAGAGGCATCTCAATCGCTGGCCAAGTCTTTTCGCCCCGCATCCCCCCGCCGCTGCGCTGCTCGTTTATCAACCAAAAGCGATCTTTGCAATTAGCCTTAAACGATTTTTGGCTCAACACTCACGCATTGCCATCTAGGTCAGGTGAGGCTGCAACTGCTGCGCCGACTGCGACTGCGACGACGGCGGCGACTGAGGCTGGACATTCGCCCGCTGTCCGTCACATTATCAGAACGAAATTATCGTATATCATGCAGCGCGGCGGCACAAGAACTGCACTCGATTCGAGGCGGCGAGGCGGCGAGGCGGACGTCGGCAGCGACGTCGACGTCGTTGCATATTTATTTTTAATCATCTTTGTGAAAGCAGGTGAAATTTTTGGCATTTATGAAAGTATGCAGCGTGACTGGCACTGGGCAGGAGGCAGCCAGCAGGCCGTTCAGTCTCGGGCTATATAAAAATTAATATAGATTGCAGGGTAGAGATACTCCTCGATACTGCAGGTACATGCTCGCCCGATCCGTTGGTACTTTAATACTCGGCACTTGGCACTCAGCACTCGGCTATCGGCTCTCGACTCTCGACTCTCGACTCTTTCGGCTGGCCGTTGCCCACTTTAAGGATGAGTTCGCCAGCTCTGGACTCCGCCAACAATTTGGGTTTGAAAGTTGCCTCAGCGCTATGTGCCGGTGCTGTAAATTTATTATGCCAAAGGCCGATCATTATCGGGTAGCCAAATTATATATGCGCGCGCGCACATGATGCGCATTAAAGGGTTGCTGCTGCTCCTGCTGCTGCTGCTGCTGCACAAGTTCCCACCAGCCAACGGCAGCAACGGGCAACATGTTGCTGGCAACATTACTCGCTCGCTGCTCCGATCGATCGCAGCGACCACAAGGCAAAACTATAAAATGTCGCAGACTATAAATCCACTTGGAGCAATAAATTTCTCAAAATGTCAGCACAGGCTCCCGCATTAATTACAGCCTCCACTCGATGCTGTTGCTCTCTGTTATTGGAGCCTTTCTGCGCCTGTCTGCAACACCCGCATCGAGGTCGCTGTTGCCTGTTGCTGTTGCCATTGCTGTTGTTGCTGACTGTTGCCTGTTTGTCGTATTGGGTAATGTGAGACCCAGCGATTGGCAACTTGTAATCAATAGTTGTAACCACCAACAGGCACTAGCACCACCAACACCACAAGCGTGCACTAGTGTTGCTGTTGCTGCTGCTGTTGTTGTTGTTGTTGGCGTATTGGGTTTTGACCGCAAAGCAAGTGCAAAACTAAAGCTTTCAATTTGCTTGTCGACGACTGCGTGCAGCAGGCAGCCGGCAACAGCCAAGAGGCAACAGGCAAAACAGCCAACAAGTTCTTTCAATTTGCGTTCGCAGTTGAGCCTGCCAGGTGGAAGGCGGCTGCAGTCAGCAACAGCAACAGCAACAGCAACAGCAATAGCAACCAGCAACTGGCAACTGGCAACCTACAAGAACAACACTCAACGTATATTCTCAACTATTGGGAGTTGCACATGTTTTATGCTGCATTTTGATTGCCTACAAGAGCTGTCGCTGTCACTTTGGCTTACCCAACAGTTGGAGGAGCAGGGCGTGGTGCGCTGTCGGGGAGTCGAGGGAGCGGAGAGACGCAGCCGAGTTCCAATTCAATGAAACGATGTTATTTTTGAATAATGAGTTCTTTAACATATTTCATCGATATGTTTCCATACATATATAATAGAGAAATGTGAAGACAGTATAATGAAGATCGATAAATAGAAGTCCCATAGAACAGGTTTCGCTTCATGTTTGGTTATTATCGCGCAATTATGTTGTATTTGATATGCTAATTTCAATGTGTTTGTTTACTGATTTCCAATCCAGCCCAGACCTAAAGATGGGAGACTTTAATGTATTCAACTCGTGGCTGCTCCTGCTGCTGCTATTGTATCAGACAGTCGCAGGTGTTAATTGATTATCATTGATTGGGCTGTTGTAATTTGTGTCGCTTTTACTGCTGCACGATTCGTTAACGAAATTCTCGAACTCGACTCACTCGATTATGGGAAACAATATTATGACAAATTAGTCAACATAAATCTACGCACTGAATATCACTTGAGAGTCTGAATGGAGTGAATGCATGAATGGAACTGCGCTCTGCCAGCCAGCGGCTGCAGGTTTTCTTCAGATTTTTTGTTAATTAAGCTGTATTTCATGCCGAGATACATTTATGAATAAAAGCGACCAAGCCACCTGAGATACAAAAGCAAAAACTGTTGCAAAAAACGGTTTTAAATTAAACGAAAAAAAAAAAAAAAAAAAATGAAAGAAACAATTGTGATGACACCAAAAGCGCGTAGCTTTTGTTAGGGCGTGTCAAAAGAAATTTCAACAAATAAATTAAAAATTAGCTGGCGGGCAAAAAGCGCCAATCCAACGAGCGACAAGCGACGACTGAGATTAAGTTGTAGTTGCTGCGGCGCGGCCTTAATCGCCCAGCCAGCCAAAGGTCGCACTCTAAGCCAAGCAATTGACAACGTTTCGCATTGACGTCATGTTCATTTTAGCCACAAAATGCCAATTTTTATGGCTCGAAGGGGCAGCTGCAATAGTTGCCGCTGCTGCTGTCGTTGTTGTTGTTGTTGCTGTTGTTGCTGTTGCTACAATTTGAACGTCGCCATCGTTTGCAAACTGTCGCAAGCAATTAATCTTCAAAAAGCAACAACATCGAGTGAGTTTCAGCTGTTTCAGCTGCTGCTGCTGCTGCTGCCGCTGCTGCAGCGAAGTTGCCGCGTTTTTATGACAAAACTTGGCAATCTGTCTAAAATGTTCAACTTCACTCATTTTCAATGGCAGTTGCAATTCCTTAGCGGCCGACTTAGAAGGTCGCCTGCCGTGCAACGCCCGCAACTAAAAGCTGCCCCAGACGCAGACGCAGACGCAGGCGCAGACTCTGAACGCAGACAACTGCCAGACTGAGAGGCTCGGGCGATCGGGCGAGGGGAGACGCTGCCGTTGCCGATGCGAAATTCATGCGAAACGCAAGACGACACTTGAATGTTGCTGGCCGGACAGGCGCACATGATCGATACGAATGAGAACTCCACCTGCCCGCCTCCGCTTCAGCCACCTCCGCCTCCTTCGCCGCCTTCTCATCTTGTCAGCTGCCTACTTTATGCTCCTGCAGTGCACGCATTAAATTCAAAATGCGTTTCAGATATTTTCTCATTTTTTTTTTTTTTTGTATTTGTTTTTGAGCTTGCGAAGGTTGCCAGCGTTGGCTGTGCATGGCCAGGCCAGGGTTGCCATTGTCAGCCAAAATACAAATGCAACAAAAACAACGAAACAAAACAAAGCAAAAAGCAGCAGCAGCAGCTGCTGCTGCTGCTGCTGCTGCTGCTGCTGCTGCTGCTGCTGCTTGGAAGCTTCTGATGTGTGCTTACCTCGTTGAGTTAGGATGTGTCGACTGCTGCTGCAATGGCCTCGGGCATATTCTGAAAGGAAGAGTGAACGAGGCAGGTTTATTAACGCTTCATTTACAACTGTAATTCGGCTGGGCTATAAAAGTGTTTGCTCTGAAATCGTGGTACAACTTTCTAGAAACTTTCGCATGGCTTTTACAACGCGCTGCCCACTTTATGGGCACTTTACGAGCCAGCTTCATTTTTTTTTTTAATATACACATATACATACGTATACACATATGTGCATAACTATGTTTATGTCCATGTTGATGCCTATGCCTAGGCCATAAAGACATGTGTGCCGCGTGTAACATGAAATGTGTTAACATTTCGCTGATGCTCATGACAAATCGTCGGAGCCGACAAAACTCTATTGCATTTAGCTGCTAATTGCCGCAGTAATTAAAGCAGCTCGAAACAAATCAAACATCATTAATCAAGCTCGAAAATACTTATGACTGAATAGTTCTACGGAGCTGTATAAATATTTATGCCAGCCGGACACACACACACACACACACACATAAACAACTCTCTATAGGTTTTGCAAATTTGTGAGTTTTTAATGATGTTTGCTTTTTTATGGTTTTTTATTCGACTTTTTTTTAGTTAAGCTAAAACGCAGACTGCGTGGCTTTGGCTTAGATTTGTGAGCCGTTTATGAATTTTACATTTTAATCATTTTTTTATTGATTAACAAACTTTAAACTTTCTGCATATATTTGCGAGAGATGTCGCTGGGCCGGGACGGGCCGGGCCGATTGCAACTTTGCCGCCGTTTTGGGCCACAAATTTGGCAACTGGACATTGATTGATGGAGCGAAATTACTAGAGAACTGAGAAGCGTTGCCACCCACAAAACAGACGAAGTAGACGGAAAAGAAACTACTGCCAATATACTTAAACAGTTGCTAGTGCCAATTAGTGGGGCGTGGCAGCAGCCCCCAAACGGTGGCCGCGCACAGACAACAAAAGCCTGAAAAGCCGCTCCAATGCCAAGCGCAAGCCACAGAGTCATGTTCCACGGCTGATTAATGATCGTGGCCCGTTTTAAATAAATTATAATATTTAACTCATTAATTATTTGAGCTGCAGTAGCAACAAATCAAAGCCCAATCAAATGCCAGAGCCAAGTGACAACATAAACTGCTTACCGCTCGCCTCCCCCTGCCATCTGCCTGCTGCTTGTTGCTTGTTGTTCTTCCCATTTTTGGTCAACAGCAGAGAGACATCAAATGAACAATAAACAATTGTTTTAATGTGTACTATTATTTACTAATCACACAGCAGAACTGTCAGCATGAGCCGCACCACATTTGCATTTTGCCTCGGACAATTGACAATTCACAATTGCGAATTGTTGCTGCTGCTAATTGGCTTGTTGCTGGCACAAAAGCGACATGTTGCTGCTGCGCCCACTCACCTCCCCCCACCAGCACCGCTGCAAGAGCGACAGCAACCCTTGTAACCGCAAACAGTAACTGTGTGTGTGTGTATGTGTGTGTGTAAGTGCGGCTGCTGGCATTTGCCACCTGTTGCAATTAGGCATGCAACATGGCATGTTGTTGCGGTTGCTGCCAATGCGGGTGAGCAAATAGCCAAAAAACAAAAAGCAACAACAAAAGCAACAAGAAATATGCACAAAAACCATGTGCCACATGAACAGCAGCTATTTATGTGGAAAGACTACCGCAGCAACAGTTGCTGGCGGCGCAGCTGTGCGACCTTAACAAATATGCCGCCCGACAAACTTGTTTCTAAACATATATCTCAGCAATGTTGCAGGCAGTCGGCCAGACTGAGAGACGGACGGACGGACGGACGGACGGACAGCAGCGCGCCGATTTCTGTTCGCTGCGACATGAATTTATTAGCACAACAATTTCCAATGTTCGGCATTTGAGAGTTTTCAGCTTTTCAGTGCTTGAATTTTCAGTCGCAGCTGCGCGCGGCTCGCTGATAAACTCTGGCTTCGACTCGCCTGTCTTATCGCGCACCCACAACAACAGCAGCAGCAGCGGCAGCGGCAGCAGCAGCAGCACGCATTGAAGCTGATGGCTCCCATGGCGTTATCTAGGCATTGAACCGGCCTGCCCTGCCCTGCCGTGCCCTGCCCTGAACCTTGGCCCGGCGCATCAGAATGTGCGTAAATTGGTACAAGGCAATGCTATGTAGCTCTGGCTGCTGCTGCGGACAACGCCTACTCAAAAATCATAAACATAAAAATAGAAAAGCCAAACGGCAACGCATACTTAAGCGATACTGCGATAACCATCATTGAGCGTTATTGAAATTGGAATTTCAAATGAGCTGAGAGGGAAAATCGGTTCACTTCTGCTTCTGCTGCTTCTTCTGCTGCTGCTGCTTCGACTTCTGCTTCTTTGTGAGAATATGGCATTTGAGTCGGTTTTGGGCGATTGTGCTTTTGTGCATATCTGAAAACCGTTTGACTTTTGCATTTAAACTTTCAAATGCAATTAGCTACGGGCATAAATTACACATGCAGAACTCGCAACTGACCAGCGAGCAGCAACAGCAACCAGCAACAGCAACCAGCAACAGCTACGGCAACGGCAGCAATACAAGCTGTTATTAACATGATTGCGCGGCTTCGGTCACCCTCCATCCAAACTGGAGCAGCACTTTGAGCCGAGAGAAGCTATAATGACCAGTGGCTAGCCATAGCCAAGCCAAATCCAAGCCAAGCCAAGCCAAGGCAGTCTGGGCCATGCCGGCCTAGCCACCTACTACAATCAACAAGGCGTACATGCAACTTAGAAATTGCTGCCTGCCTCGCAGCAACAGCAGCACAAAATTAGCAGCGCGTGCTAAACAATTGGCCCAGTCAACAGCGGCAGCAACAGCAACAATAGTCTAGCATACACACCCACACACACACACATACACATACAAAGAGACTGCGCAAACATGGCGGCAGCAGCAACAGCAGCAGCAGCTAGCTTTGGTAATTGCAACAATTTAACGGTCTGTCGCTTTGCTTTTGCACTTAAGTGTACTTTGGTGCGCTGTGCCAACTGCATACAGTGAGCCAGAGACTGCCCTGCCATCTTTTTGGGGACTACAACTTAATCAAAAACTAATTGCATTTGCATACAAGCAACATGGATGATGTTGCTGTTGCTGTTGCTGTTAAGTTGGCAGTTGTTGCTGCTGCCCACCACGGATGTGGTTTTCAACGCTTGGCTGTGTCAACTTTCAATCAAAGTCAACAAAAAACAACGAAAAACAACTAAAAACCCCTACTGTGGTTTACTGTACCACCAGCGCTTCCTGGCAGCAGCAACCGCAAGCAGTCCCGCTGACCCGCTGCTAGCGGGTGCTGCTCAGCTCAACCGTGGGAGCAAGAAAATGAGTAAATATATATCTGTATATACATTTTTTATTTTTTATTTTTATTTTTTTTTTTGAGCAGAAATAAAATACTCGAGAAACAACAACGCACATTCTAATTTATATGGCGGACGCCCGCGCAGGCTACGCATTTTTTCACGCAACGACGGCAACTGCAACAGCAATGGCAACAGCAATGGCGGGGCAAGGCACTCAACTGACATTCGCAAGTGCCTCAGTGCCACACAGCTGATGGATCACCGTAGATAAGCGAATCTTGCAGATAATCGCATCACTCACTGGCCATGCCAATGCTGCAAGTGTTTCGCCTTCTCAGTTTCTCGGCTTTGCATGCATGAGCCTGAATCTCAGAGTCAGACTGTAGACTGCAGACTGCGGACTGCAGACGGCGGACCACAGACTGCGGACGGCGGACTGCCGACTGCAGACTGGACATGCAATAATTTTCAAATACAGAAACAGCAGCAGCAGCAGCCGCAGCAGCAGCAACCGGCTCCAGTCCAGGCTGCAATGATGATGATGCATGACAGTGACAGTGCGTTGTAGTTGCTTATGGTTGCCGTTTGTTGTTGTTGTTGTTGCTGTCGTTGTCGTTGTTCTTGGTGTTGTTGTTGCTGTTCCCGCTGCATGACATTAAGCAGGTTGCAAACAGACGCTCACATGTCTGGACAGACTGTCTGTCCAACTGTCTGTCAGTGTATGTGTGAGTGTGTGTGTGTGTGTGTGTGTTTGTCTGTGTCAGTCTCTGGCTGAGCTCTGTTCCCGTCTCAGTCTCTGCAGCGAATTGTGGGTGCCTTTTGCAGCATTCTTTGCAGATTACTGAAATTAGCCGCGATTCGCCTGCAGCTTCAGTTGCACAACATATCTGTCTGTGTGTGTGTGTGTGTGTGTGTGTGTGTGTGTGTGTGTGGCAGGCAAAACTTATTTTCATGCTTTATTTGAGCGCGAGCCTTTACAAGCGCAACGAAACAGAAAATGAAATACAACTTTCAACTGTTGCTCCGGCTGTTGCTGTTGTTGTTGTTGCTGCTGTTGCTGTTGTTGCTGCTGCTGTCGGGCAAAAATCAATTAAAATTCATAGCCAATTGATTTGCGCACACTTGAAAAACTGCAATTGAAAACGCATTTTACGCACACACACACACACACACACACACACACACAGAGAGAGGCATACTCAGCCATACAAACATTTTGAAAAGTTATCTGACTTTCGACTTTTGTTTTGGGCCAGTAGAATACATAAAAACTGGCGCCAGTTGGGCAAACACAAGAGCCCCAACTGATAAAAATCACGCCGCTTACATCAACAAACAACCAGCAACAGCAGCAGCAGCAGCAGCCGCAGCAGTCGCAGCAGTCGCAGCAGCAGCAACATTAATGGTTTTCTCTACCTGTGCTTTGGTGGGGCGCAAAAGGGTTTTTTCTTCTTCTTTTATGTCTAGCCACCGACGCAGTTGCAGCCACCGCCAACACCGCAACCATCGCCACCACCGCCGCCGCCAACGTCAACGGCATCATCATTATCATCATTAAAATGTCAGTTAATAATTTTCTTGTGTTGCTGCTGTGGCTGCTGCTGCTGCTGCTGCTGCTGCTTCAAAACGTTGAGTGGATTTTCTGTTTGACGTTTACAACGTGGGCCAGCGCTGTCCGTC